AAGGCACTTGTTACTAGAAGCGATGCACTTGTTCCTAGAAGCTTCTTTTTACTACTAGCAAGGCACTTGTTACTAGAAGCCATGCACTTGTTCCTAGAAGCTTCTTAGTACTACTAGCAAGGCACTTGTTACTAGAAGCGATGCACTTGTTCCTAGAAGCTTCTTGTTTCTACAGAAAAAGTACACAACAACATTTGAACAAAACTCATACTTCTTCCTTTGGACTCTAGACCTTAAATTGTTTATTTCCTTTGAACACTTTTTGATATTTCTCTGAAAAGTGGTGTCTTGACACTTTGACATTCTCATTAAAATGTGTGTGTATCCTTGAAAACATGCGTGCGGCAAAGTCATTTTGTGCATGCGGGTTGACTGCCAAATGTTGACTGCACAATCGGAAGAGGATGTCCTGCTTATTTGTATCCACGCAGGCTTGGCCGTTCAAACCTGGGAGAGACATTGTCAAACAAAGTGTTCGGCAAAATGTCACATCTTTGATGTAGCTTGTACTTGACGAATGTACAAAGCTCCCAACTTCGAAGGCTTCCTATCACATTTGATTACAAGTCGTTCCGAAAGTACCAAACATGAACATGAAAAAAAAAAGAAACCCTGTCAAAAATCCTATGATAGAGGTTGCATTCCTCGTATCAAACACAACATAACTTGCCTTTGCCAGCATCGACTGGAGATAGGCGAGGAGCATAGATCTGGAAAGAACTTCTAAGCTGACCTAAAAATACATTGTGGACGTAGCTACAAGAACGTGGGCGTAGCATGGCGTAGCCACGTTCGGGGGCTTGCTCGTGGATTCAGTGCTCCTCACCTCTGTGGCCACATTGTCCAGGAACCAGTCGAACGTTTTGCATCCCAACCTGGCAGTCGGCGCGTACTCTTTTTCATGTGAACACGTGAAACTGGCGCAACAAAGTCGGCTTGACCTTTCTCGTAATTTTCTTCGGGCACTCACCTCAGCAACGATCTTCATGAAATGGACACGGCAATGTCGGCAAATGCACCAAAAGGCCCAAACGTCTCCAATGGTGCGGCCATTGATGAGACCAGGTCCAGCCAATTGGACGAGCCTGGGCAGAACACTTCAGACATTTGCAAAACGTCCCCCTTGAATCTCCTTTATGAGTAATTACTAAAGCTAAAGTAATTACTAAAGTTCAATAAAGCAAACTTTGGGATGCCTGTGCTCGTGCAAAGCTGCACCTTGCGACGCCCGAAAGAGAGTGCCCTCCTGTGTCCACAGGTGCCCAAACGTCTTGTACTCATCCATCCAAACTTCGGCAACGCGTAGCCTGCGCAGCCGGCAACAAAGACATGCCTCTTGGAGAGAAAGGGTGTCTTGGAAGGGGTACCGGGTAGCGCCAGTAGTGCAAACTCAAGATGCTGAGGCTCAATGACATTATAGGCGAATGAAAAGAAAGGGAAACAATTGGCAATGGTCAATGGCAGGGGCATGGCCATCTGTTCCCCAATGTTGGATTGTGTTTTTGTCCTTCCTTTCTCAGGGGTCCGGTCTGCCAGGCATGATTCGGAAGAGCGGGAAGCTTGCGACTTTGTGGCCTGTTCCGCACGACTTCGTTAACATCAATCTCGTAGACCTGCGATGAAGGAAAAGGACAGACTCAACGATTCTGGTTGGAATGACCTGCTGGCCAGTGGAACAGTAGAAGAACCGTCAAAAGCACTATGACTATGCCTATCAACACAAACATATCAGCAATGACCAGCAACAGTTTCTGACATTTCTGCACCAGGTGAACAATGCCGGGATGCTCAGTAAGCCATAGTAAGGCTCAAGTGGTCTGCACTTTGGAACATTCGTGCCACGAAGCGCCTGCTCTGACCAGTAGCGTTGAGATCTCCAAATGTGGCCGACGTGGCTACACCTCCCCACTCAGCCGTCAAGGTGATGCTGTTTCAAGAGACACGAAGACACTCGGGACTCGTCTTTCAGTTTTCCAAGTCTTCTGAAATATTACAATCTTGCAATGACACTAGGTGGAGGCCATCGCTAGTAGGTTGGAGGCCATTGCTATGAGACTTTACATCCCGGAAACCAAATCGCGCCCCATTTTCCAGTGCAGCTGACCCACTGCAGTCTGGACAATCGAATTCATTCGAATTCCGTCTGCTGCCCTGTGCCCTCCACAGGGGGACCAAGTCTTGAACAGCATTCAAGGAACACTTGCAAAATCTTGCAAAACCTATCTCTTGGCGTATTCTCAATCTCTTGCAGGTTCGGGTTGGTGTCAGATTTTGGGCCGCTGAGTCCAGCTCGCCGGAGTTTCTGCCTCATGCATTGGTCCAAGAGACTAAGCGTAGAACACTAGTAGCGTCCTTGCTCCTAGTAGTACGGCCAGGAGCCCCTAGTAGCTCCTGCAACGGGCAAGCCTGTGTCTCTTTGGGAAAGGAAAAGGATGTGTAGACAATGTTGAGCAACAACTTCACTATCCAAATGTGACTATATACCCATATGTTGGTAAGTTGGTATGCTCAAATATCCAGCAACTCAAGCGGTCGTCTGACTCTAGTTTCATGGATTTCATTCCCGTGTTTGTTCTTGTTGTTTGGTGATGTCTTGCAGTTCAGTTCTTTCTTCCATGTTCACACAGCCCCAACAACAGAATACAAAATACTGATCGCATGCCTGTTCGCAGACGGTGACCATGTCACTAAAGGCCACCGGATCCTTGCTCAATGAGAACACAGCCACAAATCGAGCATCCTTTGTAGCGGCAGGCCACAGTCCCATAGAAACGAATAACTATTTTCGGCGAAACTGTCCAATCTGATCGAAATGTAAAGCTACGGGTCGCTGACTTCTGATACGCGTCGTTGACTCATGTTTGTCCTCGTCACAGATTCGCGACCAGAGAGCCTGCGCATCGTCCCATAAACGGCCAATCCTGCAGTGACAATGACGCAACTTATGTGCAAGGGCTTGGTCAAGCACAAATGATAACAACCTTCAAGTTGCCAAGGAACTTGCAGGCGCTCACACCGGTTCCCAAGCTGATGAGGTCTTCCTGACGTTGCACAAGTATTCCAGCTGTTTAGGTTAGTCTTTAGCGCGATCCTGGTTCCTTGATAGAAACTCAGCAATGCCGACAAGGAACGAAGACTTGAACATCAAACACAACACTTCCCGAGAATTAATTTTTACTGGACACACAGTTTTTCAGCATCTGAAGACCTCACAATTGCAAAAATATACGAACCGAGGCTTAACCGTCTTAACCGCCTTTTCGCGTTGCAAACTTCAAATCAAACAGGATTTGTTTAAACAAGGTTTCTCTTGTTGGGTCTGTGGAAGGTGCAACTTTCTCACCTGCTTCGCATATCCCGGAGCTACTAATCAAAGTTTTGGAATCTGAGGGTGGCAATGAAAGCTGGCAATGGAGTTGACATGCTGGATCAAGAGTAGTTAGAAACCACCAAATACCAGAAACAGCTGAGGCGATACTTTAAGGCCGGGATAGTGAGAGAAGCTGGGTGAAAATTAAATTGAACAATAATGTCGTGCCAGAGTGTGCATTGACGTGCAGCTATACAGGGCCAAAGCGGAGTTTTATTCTTGCGGTTGGAAAAACAAATGACAACTCCCTCAAAGTGTCGGAATGTTTTGTCCAGCGAGGGTTTTTCTGCGTCGTTGCTAATTTAATTACAAGTAATTAACGCAATGTGTTTCCTACGGACAGCAACATCCTAGCATACTACCTCTCTCGGGCAAAACAAAACCAATTCTAGACAACAAATTATCAACTTGAACTTCGGAGCTTCCTGATGTTTCCAATGCATTGGGCAAAGCACTCCAGCTGGCTGATGTTGTAGCTTACTAACATGTTTCAAAGCATCCGCTTGTATTGCAAAGGAGGAAACCGTCCAAAAATCCAACAGAGTTTCTAAAAATGGTTTTTCCAAGGTTGCGCATGTCTCCGCTTGACTCTTGGGATCTGCTTTGGTTCATGTTGAGCTCTTTAGATCTTCTTTTGCCTCTCATTGGGTTGCCGAACAATATTTTCAGAAGGAATCACGTCGAAGCGCAGTTCTTCCTTGGACACTCTTTTCATGACACTGACAGGCTGTCAAGATTCATGATGTAACCAAAGAACATCAGGGTTTGGTGATTGCACTAATCCCGCCGAGTACCTATTGAAAAAGCCTCCCCAATTGAAAAAACACCACGTCCGAAACCCAAAATACGTTTTATATTTGTTTTTAAACTACTGCCCTTTCAAACCGCTGCTAAACTACCAACATGGTCGATTTTGGGGGTAGTTTTTTTATTAGGTTCCCCAAAACTCCCTCAAAATAGGTCCCAATACACACTCAAAATCGACCATGTTGCGTTGCTGAGGTCTACACTTCAAGGTCCACAAAGTAATGCACCTGCCACGAAACCAGCATTGGATCTGCAATGGGTTCATCAATGATTCAAGGATCCTTCCACTGACCCTATTTTGGACCACACCCATTTCAGGGACCCCCTATTGAAAAAATGTGACCGAGTTTCTCTTAATAGGGGGGGGGCGTGTTTTATTATATAATAGGTGGACAGGATAATCGTTCTCCACGTTTTGGTTCCAATGCCATTTTACATGCGCAGCAACCTATTTCAAGACTCTAATCAAGTGGAGGAGGTGTCACTGCTACTAAAACTACAGTACTTTTGTTTGCGGCTCGTGCTTCCTTTTTCAGTTTATTTTTTTTTCCGGCCGAAAATACAATTTTGTTGCAAGAACTTTCTTGCGTTCGATGGCTGTTTCCAAAATCCAGTTGCTCGCAATTTGAAGCGCTGATAATCAGGCACTTTTTCGCAGCTGCAGGGTCTCGAGCCCGTTATTCTTTGTTGCTTTTCAAGTCAGTGAGCTCAACGTCAACCTTCCGCAGGGAACAAGAAACGCAAACAACATACGCTTTTTCGCCCCATCCTGGGGTGTGTAAACTTCCGTCTTCCTGAGCGCAGGAAGATTGGCGCCGAAAGCCGAGAACTTGGATGCTTCCGCTCGTCGGTGCGTCGCGAGCTCCAAGGCTTGAGAGGATGTGCCCTAGTAGCGTCCTTGCTACTAGTAGATCAAGGTCTCAGGGCCTTTTTGAATCTCCATTCTGTTGGCATTGAACCTCTTTGCCTCTCTGGGTGGCCTGACTGAGCGTAAAGCTCTTGTCAATCAGGCAACCAGCTTGTGGCTATTCCTGCAATCCACAACAACATAGCTACACATAGGTGCGGTATTTGGTGCTCGTTAGCAGAGCAGTGAACCTCAACGACGTGAAGATCTGAGCGAAAGCGGTGTGGAAGGAATTGAAATTCCGAAGTTCTCGCGCCTGCATCCCAGACTATTCTGCCTCCGCGAAGGCACAAAATAGTTGCCCATAATTTCTTGCAATTTCTCTTTGATCCTCACTTACAGCCCTTCATTGAGTCTTTCGGAAAGAGTGACGCAGCAGCGTTTCCAACCTAGGATTTGGTTCGAGCAAGTGGTGCACAACATGCCACTTCAGACGGCTTTCTCCCCCGGAGTTTGCATTGCAAAGCTTTATTCTTTCGCAATGGAAACACGGGGCTCACTCCCCAATGCGGCTTTGTGGCACAAGCTCCACTTTTACTGGTGTAGGTGGTGGAGGTTTCTGCTTCTTCTGTGGTGCTTTGTCTGCCATTGCGTCTGCTTGTCCCTGGTTTGCTTGGCTTGGTTTGTTCAAGGTCGTGTCTGTGTGAGCCTGCTTGTGTCCTAGGTCTTGTCTGCATGTTCCTGCATGGTAGAAGTAGCTGTCTGCTTCTTTTCCGAGGTCTTGTGTGCATGGTGCTGCTTATTGTGGTCATATCAAAGGTGTTGTCTCGAGGTTCCTGTTTGGTACTGTATCCCTGGCATAGCTTGTCCCACGGTCCTGCTTGGCTTTTGTTGTCTTGCACCAGCTTTTCCGCGTACTAGGGTCATTGGAACCACTTTCACCACACAACCGTTCTAGCACCAGCTGATCTTTGCCCCGTGAGGTGATTGGTGTACTTCTTTGTGCGTGAAGTACTCTGCAAGAAGAGCACCGACGCCACTCCGGCCACGGTCGAATCACAACACAACAACTCCCCAAGAAGAGCCTAAAGAATCCTCACTCACATCAGTGAATGACGTCCGCCATGTTTCCAGCAAAAGTTGTCGTTGTTTGAAGAGCAGTGAGCGCATTATCATTTCCATGAAAACCTGAATTTTCAAACTCGCGTGTCCACTCCTTGACTATTTTTAATGGTGGTAAGTTCTAAGTGTACTTCACTTCATATCAACATCAGAAGGACATCCCAAGTGATTGAATTCCAAGGAATTCAAAACGGTTCAAAGATCAAAGGCGAACCTAGCCCCCTGGATTTGTCTTGGAGTGATCTTTTTGAACAGTCTCTTTGTGAGATGGGGGAGATACGCTAACCTCGATCCAACATTTTTTGTCAACTATTCAAGCCCCCCCAGTGTCAGTCAGTTCACAAATCCCCAGCACACAAACTTTAGAGTAGGTCTAGACATACAAAGGTCAAATAGAATCTGCCCTTTGAGGGCCTCTGCAACCAGTGTCGGATTGAATGACACTAGATTGTTTTGTTTGTTTGACAGTTGACAGTCTTCTCCACGTTGACATGACAAGCATTCTGTAAAGGCAGCAAAGAGCTACGCATGTACTTATATTTCGCCTTCAATGCTTGATACTGCAACTTGATGGCACAAGGGCTCGTTGTCTTCTTGTGGTAGCCTAATTGCATGAATGAATCAAAATTAGTTGACAAACGGACCAAACGAGTCTTCTTGACATCTCCTGGAGCATCCACGCGGGAAGGTCACGAAGAAGGCAGAGGCTCTGCTGCCAAGCCTGGGCCTTTTGACCTCACACTGTGACTTCCATT